AGAACAGATTAAAAGCTTCCTTGAAACTTGATTGCAAAGTGTTTCAGCAATATTCGATACAACTACTTGGTTCCATTAACCAAGCATAGAACAGACTGAAGCAAAAGAATATCCACAGTAGAATTGGGAAACTAATGCATTTCTTTGCATATTCATCTTGACACAACTCAGAGTAATTTTACAAGTTATTTAGTCTACAGTTTTATCACCAATAATGGTTAGATAGAACATGGAAAATAAAATCCCCATCACACAGTACCATCACATAGACAAATATCATATCAGAATCTGAGTGGAACAATCATCTAGCTTCCATCACGGAAATTGATACCTGATTTATGGAACAATGATGAGAGTTGATTTTAGGAGCACCTGCTTCTTTCACATTTGCAGTGGTGATGAAAAAAGCTGGTTGATTTGGTTCTGGCAGAGATGTAGTCTCGTTTGAAAGCATTGAAACAACATCAGACATGGTGGGTCTATCCACGGCATGGTCTTGTACGCATAAGAGGCCAATATTGATGCACCTTAAAATTTGATCATGAGGGCAAAATTCATCCAAAGTGGGATCAATTAACTCCAAACCTTTATCATCAGTCCAAAGTTGCCACGCCTAATTGAAACCAAGAGTATCTTACTTATACAAACTTTAAGTTATAATAATTTATTCATTCAAAATGAAGAAATAAAGAGAAGAGAAGGTGCTGCGAAGAAAACAACTTACAAATCCTATAAGGTTCAAAGGATGCTCAGTATGATAACGACTTGTGTTCTTCCTACCACTTACAATCTCCAACAGTAGAACTCCAAAGCTAAACACATCAGTTTTGATTGAAACAAGGCCATGAAAGGCATATTCTGGGGAAATATAACCACTGCAAAAATGATTGAAATGGATGAAGTTTTCAATTTTCGAAAGGGAAAACACCAAAAAAAACAAATGCAAAAGATGAAAATACCATGTGCTTGGGTGCAAAGATAGCATGAATACTTACTATGTTCCAACAACTTTACTTGTGTTTTCTTCTGATTCATTCTCTCCAAAAATTCTAGCCATCCCAAAATCAGATATTTTTGGATTCATCTCATTATCAAGTAAAATGTTGCTGGCCTTTAAATCTCTATGAATCACTCTCAATCTTGAATACTTATGAAGATAAAGCAGCCCTTGAGCAATCCCTTCAATGATGACGAAGCGTCTCTTCCAATTCAATATTTTCTTTTTAACAACATCTGCATCAAGATTTAAATTGGTATTAATTTCATCAACTGGTAAGTAACAAATCCAAGGAAATAGACTTCTCAAAAAGGACAAAATTTACCAAACAAAATGGAATCCAAACTTTTGTTTGGCATATACTCATAGATTAACATCTTTTCATCTCCTTGAATGCAAAAGCCTAGAACCCTCACAAGATTAGTATGCTGGAGCTTTGCAACTAACATTGCTTCGTTCTTGAACTCTGTAATGCCTTGTCCTGAACTAGGGGATAGTCTCTTTACTGCTACTTCTCGCCCATCATGTAATATTCCCTAAAATTATCTTATGTCAGTAATTCCTAATGGAAGTTCATATTTGATTCATGATCATGATATGTATTACCTTATAAACTGGTCCAAAGCCGCCCTCCCCTAACTTATTTGCATTCGAAAAATAGTTTGTGGCAGAGGCAATGCTTTCAAAGCCGAATGCATGCAAATCATTTCTTTCTTTCTTATAGCGCTTTGGTTTTCCAAATGGGAGGAGAGGAAACTCACTGCCTTCTAGTTCTTTTATTAGCGTCCTCTGGTCAATGTTTTCATCTCCTAAATAAATTGAAAGATTCAGAGTTTGAAAATGTTAAACACAAATACATAATTAAGCAAGTTGCCATAACAAGAAATTAACTAACCTTCTGAAATGCAATTTTTCCAAATCACAAAACAGTATGAGAATAAACTGGGTAGGACCAGTATTCCTCCAACAGCAATGGTTAGCCACAGCCACCATTTGTTCCCTCCTACATTTTACAAGCATTTTTACTGCCTAAACATCTTAAATCAACTCATAATTAAGCAGGAAATTGTTAATAGGTTAGGCAAGGAGTTTTGAAAATGAAGTGTACTTACTTTTGGAACGAATGATGTATATGGTCCGCCCAGGGGCATCAGACTTTGTTTCTCTAAAAATTCCATTTGATGTCCAAATTTCACAGCCTGTTTGATCCTCAATATTTGTGGCAGCATAGGCAAAACAAGAACAATTCAACAAGCATTTGGCCCTGCAAGCATCGAGAGTTAGGTTATCACTCTCATAGAATCTGAATCCGTTGGTGAACATTATGCCTTGCCTCCCGAATCTGTATCTAAAATCATGATCAAGGCGAATGGTACCCCTGCACTCAGGAACCCTGCACTCAGGAAGATTTACCTTTCCACAGCCTTTGTTGTAATCATAAGGTCCATAACATGAAATAATGCGGTAGGAATTTGCGCCTTGAGACATCCTTAGTTCACCATCATAGCTTATTTTTATACTTGGGAAGGAATATAAGTGGTTTTCAGTATAACTAAAATACGTTTCATTCTCATTCTGGGTGAAACTAAAGTTGTAGCCATAATCATGCCGAGGAATATATGGAAAGTCAGAGCTGCTCTCTTGCCAACTTCCACTTCTCCAGTAGACATCCCCACGTCGCCATATGACCAATTGTTTTGTTCCATTGGGATCCATACCGAGTGTATAGGGGCCTGAGGCCAGGGAAAAGTAACTAATCCCCGATGTTAGATTTGTTGTAATTCCTAGTTTCATTCCGGGCAGCAGAGTGTCTGTGGGATGTTTAAAGCTTTGCCATAGAATGCCTTTCACAGATCCGTCTGGATTCAACTGCTGGAGTACAAAATTACCGTCGTCCCGTAGAATGGCACTGGCTTTTATAGAAGTCTGAGTATGGTATAAAGTGATGACCTCTGTCTCACCGGATAAAATCTTCAGGTTCCCATTACTGTCGAGTACAAGAATTCCAGAACGGTTGAAGATTGGGGCTTCTCGGTTTGCAATCCAGAGTGGACTCCAGACTCTTCTATCGTTTTCTTCACCTTCGAGCCTGTAGGAATCGTACCATAATCCGAAGTAGGACTCATTTTTCATTCTGGAAGATAGAAAGAATCCTAATTTGAAAATGCCAGAAGATGACTGCAGTAGCTCCCCATATCTGAGTTGTTTGCCCTGTTCTATAGCGTCATTCCAAGAATAAGAATGAACACTTAGGATCAGCAAACACAAAAAACAAAGAAGGGAGGCAGATCTGCTTCTGCTATCCATTATTCAGGAAGCTTACAGAGCAGAGATCTATGCTCATTGGTATTGACAGACAGCGGAGAATATATTGAACCTTGAATTACCGTGCAAGATGGAGCTAACGACTTGGTCAAGAATGCAAGAGCACAGAGTCAGTGGCTGAACAATCAAAAAGTCACTCTGAATTTATAATTGATAGTGATTAAAGAAGCAGAAATGTAGTTCCATTACTCTCTAATATCCAGAGGTTCCAAAAAAAGTCCTTGGTTTGAAACTCTGGATACATAGTTTTCACGTAGACTTTGGAAGTTGTTGACGATGGACATGCGGAAAAAATGGCAGTGATATAATAGCCACCAAACTATACGCTAATGACTTTTTCCCATTTCGTCTAATATCCTTCCTTCAACCCAATTTCCAAACTGTAGTATGTGCAGTGTCAAATAACCATTTTCCTAGTAATGCAATTTTCAAACTGGAGGAATGAGGTAGGATGGTCACCGTGGGAATTGTTTGGAAATT